ACACTGACATTTATTAGTGAGGTAACCCAAATGACCTATAATATAGATAAACTAGAATGCATATTTTTGATTGACAATCTTTCCACAATCTTCTTTCTTTAGTAATCCCATTAACCAAAATAAAGCATCATATCCCGACTTGCCATAGGGCTCTTCGAAGACTAAGCATTCATGCCCAGAAAGGCTATTATACTGAATGTGATTGATTAGGAATCTAACTAATCTCACTTCATGTGAGACGTCCCCAATAATGTATATATTTAGAATACTAAATGATTTCTGGTGGAGTTGCTATGGCAATTAGTTGTAAAATTAAAACAATTCAAGTCTCCATCTTCTGATTCAGTTAATGCTGAATGATGGTCAGTATCAGTTGAGACAGGCATTAGTGTCATGCAGACATTAAAGGCAGGGGTGAACTTTGGAAATGGGTCGCTGTTTTATGGTAGAAGATAGCTACTGCCTGTTGCTAATAACAGCAGCAACTAAGGTTTAGCAAATACTTTGGAAACAAGCTCTGAGTTTTTGACATCTTTTGGAAATGTTGAGGTTTATAAAACATCTTTCTATGCAGTCTATGCTGAAAACCTTTTTATTTGCCATCTATACTAAGAATCCTCCTTAACATAAAACTGCTGAAATTCATAAAAATCTTTTTGATTAAACAAAACAACTGATAGCAACATTTGAAGAGATAGTGAGCAGCCTAACCTCAGTTTCTATATGCCTTTGAACGATCCAGTCTCTACAACACCCAGTCAGTATAGTATTGAGCATTTAAAAGTAAATGAAAGCTTCAGTATATTTTAAAATGTTGTGTCATAACACAATAAAGGAACATCACAAAACTTCAAATAATGTTAAGATTTACTGAACCATCCATTTGTTTGTAACAAGTGGTGACAACATTGTTAAATTAGTCTTTATTCCCGAGATAACTATCCTAATTATTATTTGCCTGCTTTCTTTGTCATTAATTTATAGCAGTGGAGCAGATGATAGTAAGAATAAGGGCATAAAAATATTAAAGAATATCAGTCTTCACGCTTCATCATTGTTACTCTAACTTCATTTAAATATTTCCATGGATCTCCAGTTTAGGATCTCTATTTCAGAGAGATGCACTCTGTGCTCAGTTTGTAACAACTTAGTTCATACTAGACTAAATTAAATATGATTATTTTTCCACATTCAAAATATTAACCTTGGACAATCATCAAAGCCACAGTTCTAATTTCACAATATATAATATTGCTCTATAAGAAAGTACAGCATCAATAAATATATAAAACACTGGTTTTCTAAAACATATTTACCAAATGAAGCTAGATATATACTGAACATAAGACAATCCAGCACATAGTAGCAGGGTGCAAGATGCTAGCAGGTAGAACATATACTGAGACACACAACCAAGTTGCTGTTATTGAGTACTGAAATATCTACTCAGAATATGGGCTGGATCTGCCCAAGACCAGATGGGAGATACTACAAAGGGTAGTCCAGAATGACAGGGCAATATACAGTGACTATAACATCAAGAAAAAAGGGACATGCGAAGGTGGACAAATACCAATGACTGAAAGTTGAGCTAGGAAGGAGGTGGAAAGTAAACGCAGTGATAGGAGCACTTGAGGCTGTGACTCCCAAGTTGGGGGAGTGGCTTCAGGAGATTCCAGGTGGGACATGAGATCGCTGTCCAGTAGAGTGCAGTTCTAGGAACAGGTAAGATACTGTGCAGAACCCTCAGATTCCCAGGGATGTGGTAGTGCACCCAAGAGTGAGGAATGCACAAACAAAAAATGTATTAAAGTCATCGTGCAAAAGAAGGTACACCCTCTTTGAATTATCTGTTTTTACATATCATGACATAACAACAATTATCTGTTCTTTAGTATATTCTAAAATTAGGTAAATACAGCCTCAGATGAACAACAACACATGACATATTACTGTGTCATATTTTATTTAACAAAAAAAAAGCCAAAATGGGGAAGCCAAGTTTTTAAAGTACACCCTTGATGCTTTTGTAGGAATTAAGTGGCCCAGTAACAGATAGTTGCTGCTAATCAAATGCCTTTGATAAATTGATCATCAGCAAGTGTTACCACCTCTATAAAAGTTGACATTTTAACAGTTTGCTAGTCTGGAGCTTTCACAGTGTGTATCTGTCACAATACCTGTCCCTCGCAGCACTGTGCAATCACAGAAATTATGCATTTTCTGAGTTCCGATGCACACCCACTTATCCTTAGCTTCCTGGTGTATAATTATGACATCATATATGACATGGAACCCTCCCATTAGTCTCCTTTTATAGTGTCTGCCTATGTGTCTCTTCTTGATGCTGTATACACACTTGTGACATCATGGTCCTCGGTAAGTGATCACAACCTAGTATAGGGTATATATACTTCCTGGTTGTCTTGATTTCTTTGCCCTGTTGTGATTCTTGTTACCTGAGAGAGTGTTTATACTGTGTATTGAATTTACTGTTTTCTGACCTTGTGTTTTCTGACTATTCTTGCTCTCTGTTATCCATTATGGCATTAACCCGGCCACTCTTTACTGTTTCCTTTAGGTTTGCGTGTTAAGGTTTCTCTATTCCTGACAGTATCAACACAATGCCAAGGAGGAAAGACATTAACAATGATCCTAGAGAAGCAATTGTTGATATCCATCAAACTGGAAGGGTTATAAAGCCATTTCCAAACAATTTAAAGTCTATCATTTTACAGTGAGAAAGATTATTCAAAAGTGGAAAACATTTAAGACAGTTGCTAATCTTCCCAGAAGCTGTGGCCAAGAGAAAGCCTCTTCTCTCTATAAAAAAAACAAAATGCCAAAACAGCTTAGTTTTGCAAAGTTGCATCTGAACAAACCACAAGACTTATGGAACAATGTCCTTGGACAGACAGGACTAAAGTGGAGATGTTTGGCTATAATGCATCGTGCCACATTTGGCAAAAACCAAACACAGGAGGATATCAGCACAAACACACCATACCAACTTTCAAGCACGGTGGTGGAAAGGTTATCATGTCTATTTCTTTTGCAGCCGCATGATATGGGAACCATGCAGTTATTGAGTCGACCATGAACTCCTCTGTATACCAAAGTATTCTAGAGTGAACTGTGAGGCCATCTGTCTAACAGTTAAGCTTGGCCGAAACTGGGTCATGCAACAGGACAATGATGCCAAGCACACCAGAAAATCTACAACAGAATGGCTGGAAAAGAAAACAATCAAGGTGCTGCAATGGCCCAGGCAACATGCAGACCTCAACTCAATTGAAATGATGTGGCGGGACCTTAAATGAGCTGTGCATAAACAAATGCCAGGAAATCTAATTTCCCATTACAAGAACCCAAAAACCGCATGCAGTGGTATTTAAACTCCCCACATGTAGGATATTCTACTGACGATATTTTCAGTGCAGGTCATATGGAAAAAAACCACAGAGAATCCCACGCTGCAGCAGAGCCAGTTACCAAGGTAGCTTGAATGTGATTAGAGAACAGGTTAAAGATGGTATAAAAGCTTCAGATGTTAGGATATGCCAGGTAAAATTTTTAGGATAAATATAAACGTATTTAAAATTAAAGAGACTAACCAAAATATTAGTTAGTCAGAAAAAATATACTTTTAGTTAGATTAAAACACAACGCGTTTCGCCACAAGGGGTTTCTTCAAGTGTACTAACATCTGAAGCTTTTATACCATCCAAAGAATCCATGGTGGGGATTGTTCCACCCAGGCGCTTTATACAGAACAGTTTGTCTGCTCTGTAAATTGTAAGTACATCTCCTATTTTATTCAGCACTCTTTTAATATACAGAGCACTATGGGCCTTCTCTTGTTTTTATTTCATATGACCTACACTGAAAATATCGTCAGAGGAATATCCTACATGTGGGGAGTTTAAATACCACTGTATGCTAAATGTGAGTTGGCATTTCTTAACCTCAGTATTGTCTGTGGCCATACTCCTTTAAGTTACTGCACCATTGGTCCCCTCTGCGTGTTTTTTTCTTTCATATATGCTTATGAGGATTTGACCCAAGATGTCTTGAGAATTTCTGAAGAATATACCTGTGAATTAGAGACTTTAATTTGCCTGTTTCCCTGGTATTTTTTCTATTATTTATTTTATTTATTTACTTTGTTCTTGGTGCACCCTGTACTTGTTGTTTTCTGTTCCTCGGAGGGTTAAGGTTGCACATGAAGTGCCCATATTGTAATATATGAGTTTCCACTTTACCATCCGGATAGTGGAAAGGTTTATTAAAATGAAGGGTTTGTAGACCTCTCCTTCTCCGAGGCGACTGGATCAATTTATAGATAGTGTCAGGGGAAACTGCTGTATCCCATATCACTGGAAGGGCTAGTCAATGATAGCACAGTGTACCACAGCCCAAACTTGCCGACTTAATGACCCCATGAGCCTATACAAGAAAATAATAATAATAAAAAATAAAAACACTGAAACGCTGTCTTCCCCCCAGGGAAGTCTATTCCAAACTTGCAGCTGTAGACTAAGAAGCAGAGAATGCAGCGGCCAGGCTCCCACGCTGCAGCAGAGCCAGTTACCAAGGTAGCTTGAATGTGATTAGAGAACAGGTGAAAGCCACATGGTCACACCATCCACCCTGGGAGCAGTATAATGGATGTCCTATGCTGCGCAGTTTAAGTGGCGAGAGTGAATCTACAAGGAAGCGCTGTCAAAAAGGCAAAGGGTCAACCAAGGTTCATTTATGCAGACTCCAAATCTTCCTACTCTCCAAGGTAAGAAAGGGATGGGAGAGGTCTGGGGTCACAGTCCAACAAGTGAGAATGCAGATTGTATCTCAGTGGTGAAATAGAAGGATTCTGGGGAGCAGTGCCGCTGAATTCGCCCCGGGTTGCACGCATTTACTTCAACTCAGGATCTGGTCCTACTCACGGAAACATAGTGAAAACCACAGCGGAATCCCACAATCCTTAGTTCTCATCGAGTGGCTTACAGGCTGCTAGGGATGAGAGAGATGTCTGACTGCACTTGCTGCTCCTTCACAACTGGATAGAAGTAAGGGTGCTCCATGGCCTCCCATGTCATCAGTCTCTGCTGATAGTTGTAACGCAGTAATTTATCGAACATCTCCAGAGCCTCTGCACTCACTAGGTGTCTGTTCTCCCAGCGTTTCCGTGCCCAGGATGTTGTTAAAGTGAAGATCAAGCTTTATGTGATATTTCTTAAGGTATCCAAATAACTAATCAGTGCCCAGCACTTTGGCAATCCTTACCAACTGGTCATGATTGTCTTGGCCGTGGAAGAATGGCTCCTTATGAAAGATCATACTGGCCAACATACAGCCCAGGCTCCACATGTCCAGACTGTAGTCATACATCTGGTAATCCACCAACAGCTCAGGACCCTTGAAGTAATAAGAAGCCACTCGCACATTGTATTCCTGTGCCGGATGGTAAAACTCTGCCAGGCCCCACTCTATTTCTGCTGACGATCAATCATTACATTATGAGGCTTCACATCACGGTGCACACCCCCTGACTGTGGCAGTAATCCAAGGCCTTTAGCAGTTCGTACATGTAATATCTAATGTCATATTCTGTGAGGACCCGATAAAGCTGCTTCAAGTCCGTTTTATTGATCTATTTAAAGACAAGAGCTGGAGTCTTGGACAATGGATCCTTAATTGTGTCAAGAAGCTGGATGATGTTGGTTCCACCCCATATATTTTACAGAATTTTAACCTCTCACTTAATCTTCTTCTTCTTTACTGGCTTAAGGATCTTGACCACAACACGCTCATTGTTTGTGATATTTGTGGCTTCAAACACCTTGCTGTACTTGCCGCGACCGAGTTTTCTAACCAGCTGATAATCTTCCAGATCTCCCCAGGTGGGGATGTGTGCTTCATAGTCCCAGTACTCACAGCTCCTCAGGCTGTTGATGTCGGCATAGACCCGTGCTCTTCTCCCAGCCTGTAGGCCTGGCATGGCTCCAGGGGCAGCGGAGATGAGGCGCAGCCAGGCCGGGCCGGGCCGGGCCGAGGACAGTTCAAAATTCAAATTTAAGAGCAAATTAACTGAAGAGAAAGTATGACTGAATGGGTTTTTTTTCAGTTTGGCTATTTTGACCTTAAAATTTTAAATTAACTTTCCCAATAATTCACATTTTAGTGAATAACCCTGAAAATGTCCTATTAAAGTTGTAAAGCTCAGGATTCTAAACCTAGTCAAAGAAAGTGGCAGAACTTGTGAATCTACATGTATGCACATTTTTGTGTTCACCGTTCTTTTATTACTTTTATATTGAGCAATGCTAGGACCCGATCTCACCAGAACACTAAATGCATTTTTAATTTAAGCTCTGTGGCCTTCTTTTCCATTAACCCTCTGCATGCCTGCACTGTAGTCATGTCTCATATATAATTAACTTTTCCTGAATACAAAGCCTTTCAGCCCACCTGAAGGATATCTGTACCCTGGATAATACATTCAATGTACATGTCACCCTAGGGCATCCTCTCTAATTCCCTAGTCTTGTTATATTTCCATGTTTGAAATCATGTACATATTCTGCATCACAGGAAAGCTTACAAAACATTATACAACAGAAAACTGGGTTCTTCACTTCATGTGTGCACGATACTGTGTCATCATATATACATTTTAATTATATTTTTTAATTAATCTCATGTATAATTTAAAGCTCAATGACAATCTTAAACCCTTAAGAACACATGATGGAAATATTCCGTCATGATTCCCTTTTATTTCTGAAGTTGTGTCCTTAAGGGGTTAAAAAAGGTAGAAAACAAACAAACAAGAAATAAAAAACAGATCAAGAGACCTTAATTAACAAAACTTATATTTGTTGAGATGTAACGTGGTGACACTATTTAGGTCAATATGTGAAAATTTGTTGCTAAAAGCAGTGACAAGTGACATCATTTGGTAGTTGTATTAGACATAACACACTGTATTTTCTAGGGTATCATTCGTTCTGAGTGAATCTCTTTGAATTACAGCGAGGAGAGCCAGAATTTCTGACAGGCTGATTTAATGAAGCTCTTACCAACAATTTGAAGAGATTAGGAGTCTGTCAGGAAGATATCATTGGAAGCTTAAGGGATTGCTTTCTGTAGTCATTCCGAAATGACAGTTAATGTATGGGAAGCTTTCCCTGAAAGCTCTGCCACAAAGGGCCACCGAGAGGATACAGCCATCAGTGGGTCATCTGTTTGATCACTTTGGCAAACGTCACACTTTCAGTAAAAATGAATAATGTATTTTGTGTCAACAGTTATGATTTGCTTATTAAATAAATTACACATTTCCCATTATGAACACTATTTAAAGGGACAGTTAATCCCTGCTATGGACAAAGTAATGGGAATAATATATAAAAAATTATTTAAAGGAATACTGTTGGCACCATAACTCCATGATGTATGCATGGTCCCTGGAATTCACTGGAGCTGTTTTACCTTCTAGTTTTAAACAGTTTTCAAATAGATTCATGCAGAAGATTTGTCCTTAGGTTCTGGTCTCTATTGCCTATCCTTATGTTTTCGAGCTAGTACGAAGGCATTAGTTCGATCAGTGAATGGGTAGTAGTTATAAGCTGAGAGTGTCATCATGAGTAAAAAATACTGCTTAGGGACATGGCGTTTATTATACTGCCACCCCCATCAAAAGAGCTATTCTTATTCAATATATTGCTGAATCAGCAATAGAATGTATTATTAACCTCACTGGACCAACAATGATTTACTCATTGTAAACAAATGTTAAGCAGGAGATAGGACAAAATGTTTTCCTATTTATTTTCTTTTATTTATGCAATTAAATTATTAAAACACTCATATGTATCACACATAGACCTGCTGTCATGTTCACATTAAAGAGAATCTTTTCGCACAGATACAAAAAATTAGTTTAATTTTTTTTTATTTTAGAAAGTGGTTTAACAAAAAAATACAGTTTTTAAAAAGAGGGAAGCACCTTCTAGATATGAGGCAAAATCCAAGTCTTAGTAATAGATGTATTAGATTGTCTGAACCAAAACGCTGCACAGAATAAAAATACATGTGACACTGTAACGAGAATATACCCCAACACGCAGGATTCAGCTAAACAGAAGACAACACAGAGGAGAGATACGTCTAGAACCTTAGAATGGCCGGGCTCGACGTATATGAGAGGAGGCAGAGTCAGGAACGATCCGAAGTCAAGGGCACAGAGAAACAGCATAAACTAGGACTAGCCGGGGTCTGGTACACAGTAAACAGCAAGCCGACAACCAGAACAGATAAGGATAAAGATAAAACGTAGTCAGAAACAAAGCCAAAGTCAATACGAAGAAAACACAACTGAACACAACAAGCGCTAAAGGGAACTGAAACAGAAACCACGATAGGACAGGGAGTAAAGGGAGAGGTAAGTTTAAATAGCTTCTAAACTAATGTGATTGGCTCCTGTCATATCCACACCCCCAAAAGGTAAGTGTATGGGGAGTGTGGCATGACAGGAGCCAATGGGAGCCTTTTAACAATTTAGGCTCCCACTGTCTCTTTAAGAGCGCGCCCGCGACTCGTGGCGCGCTCTTAGATTCAGGCGGGACACGTGACCGCTTCTCGCGGTCACTGCCCGCCTTCATATTGAAGCCGTCGGATGAGCCGCGCGCGGCTCGTGCAGCAGCAGGACCGCGCGCGGCTCGAAGAAAGGACCGCGGCCGGCCCCTGGATAAGGTAAGTAACGCCAGTACCACCCCTATGGACACGCCCTCCGGGCGGGTAGGGCCAGGCCTGGCAGGAAAACGAGAATGGTAAGAACGCACAAGGCGGGGAGCGTGAACAGCATCAGCTGAAATCCAACTGTGCTCCTCAGGCCCATAACCCTTCCAATGCACCAAGTACTGAAGTCGACCCCTAAGGTAATGAGAGTCAAGAACAGCAGAGACTTCAAACTCCTCATGACCCTCCACGGAGACAGGAGGGGGAGGCGGAGAATGCCAGGTATAGCGGTTGCGTACGTAAGGCTTCAACAATGAGGTGTGAAAGACATTAGGAATACGCAGATTCCTAGGAAGGCCCAAGGCATAAGAAACAGGATTAACCTTATGCAGAATACGATAAGGACCTATGAAGCGGGGAGCCAATTTCATAGAAGGCACCCGCAGGCGAATATTCCGCGTGGAAAGCAAAACCCTGCCCCCCACAACATAAGAAGGAGCCGCTCTGCGATGCTTGTCAGCCTGAGCCTTCTGGCGAGCAGCGGAATCCACCAAAGAACGCTGAACCTGCTCCCAAGTATTACGCAAACCAGCCAAATGCTCATCCAGAACTGGCATGCCCTGTGAGGAGAATGCAGCCGGAAGAACAACGGATGCTGGCCATAGACAACGTAAAAAGGGCTTTTGCCGGAAGAATCATGAGTGGCATTATTTCGAGCAAACTCAGCCCAAGGAAGTAGGTCAGACCAATTGTCCTGATGGTGAGACACAAAACAACGAAGGTACTGCTCCAGAGACTGGTTGGCACGTTCAGCAGCTCCATTAGACTGGGGATGGTAAGCGGAAGAAAATGAGAGAGAAATACCCATTTCTGAGCAAAAGGCTTTCCAGAACCTGGAAATAAATTGGCTACCCCTATCGGACACAGTAGATTCAGGAATACCATGTAACCGAAATACTTCTCTAGCGAAGATAAGAGCCAGTTCCTTGGATGTGGGCAACTTGCGAAGAGACACAAAGTGAGCCATCTTGGAAAACCGATCTACTATCATCAGGATGACTGTGTTACCATTTGAAGGGGGTAATTCAACAATAAAATCCATGGATAGGTTAGACCAAGGTCTCTCGGGAACGGGTAAGGGATGCAGAAGCCCACAAGGAACTCTATGAGACGTTTTCATACATGCACAAGTAGTACAAGCACTTATATAGTCAGTGACATTCTTGTGTAAGGAACCCCACCAAAAATATCGAGAAACTGCTGACATCGTTTTGGTAATACCAGGATGTCCAGCAGTCTTAGTATCATGATATAATGACAGAATCTCCCGTCTCTCGGGAACATCAACAAACAATTTATCAATAGGCCTCTCGCTAGGTGCCATACTTTGTTTCGCCTGTATGGTCTGCAAGAGGGATGAAGAAATAGACAACATAGTAGTAGCTATTATCCTGTCTTGGGGAATGACAGGAGTAACATCAACCTCCTATTTATCAGTAGTTTCGAACTGTCTGGACAGAGCGTCTGCTTTAATGTTGCGATCACCTGGCCTATAGGTGATAATATAATTGAAACGGGACAAAAATAGTGACCATCTAGCCTGCCTAGAAGATAATCTTTTAGCTTCACCAAGGTAGGATAGATTCTTGTGATCCGTAAAAATGAGGATAGGATCCTTAGTTCCTTCTAACAAGTGTCTCCATTCTTTAAGAGCTAAGATAATAGCAAGGAGTTCACGATTACCCACATCATAATTCCTTTCTGCTTTGGACATTTGTCTAGAAAAGAAGCCACAAGGATGCAATGGCTTTTCAGGCGATTTTCTTTGGGACAAAATAGCACCTACCCCGATCTCAGAAGCATCAACTTCAAGAATATAAGGCAGTGAGGGGATAGGGTGCTGTAATATAGGTGCAGAGGCGAATGTAGTTTTAAGAAAGTCGAAAGCCTGAAGTGCCTCGGGAGACCAGACACGAGTATTACCACCCTTTTTTGTCATACGGGTGATAGGCGCTACAATAGAAGAAAAACCCTTAATAAAGCGTCTATAATAGTTAGAGAAACCAAGAAAATGCTGAATTGCTTTCAAACCCTGTGGTAGGGGCCACTCTATGACAGCAGAAAGCTTCTGGGGATCCATATGAAACCCTTTGGCGGAAATCAAATACCCCAAGAACTGGACTTCGGATTGGTCAAATAAACATTTTTCTAGTTTACAATAAAGACCATTAGTAAGAAGGGTCTTCAGGACCGTTGTGA